TTACTTATTGTCTTCTTTGTGCGTATCGTGCTTTTGAACAATTTAAACATAATGTGTCAGGGTTTATTTTAAGAAAAATTTAGAACTGCACATATTAGAGATGTTAAGAAGCATCACGTGTTTGACTGGGGGGTAAAGGGATGTTTGACTGGGGGTCAAAGGATTTTTATCTATATTTAACGTTGTAAATTATGATAGACTCTTAATTTGTATGTACGTGGCAGAATAATGGCGTGGTTGGGTGGGGCCAGACAAACTCGATTCTGGGTGGGGAACTACAGGAGGGGGTGTTCCCCCAAATTTTGAATTTAGAGGCTCGTAAGTTCTGGCAAAGATTTGTTTCACCCAACCACCCACAAAAACTGTTTCAAAACATGTAACTGGGAATCATGAATACTCAACATATAAGGCATTTAATAACCTTATTAGGCAGCAAAGAATATTAGGTTCTCCCACTCTAATCTCTTTTGGATAGCTTGGTTCGCCCCAATTTTACCTCCTGTTCCATTACCCCCAGCACGTATGTGATTCGTGAGGAAAATATAAGGGTCCGGTGATCCTGTTCCACAAAACATTTAGATTTTTGATGCTCAATGACAGCATTTCTGACATCTGGAGCATCCACAAGGAAAACGAGTAAATGAGGTTATGAGTAAATGTTTTGAGGTTATATTTTGTTAATTTGGTGAGTGCACATTTCAGTTTTAAGAACTGCATAAATGGGTTTAAAACTGTACATTTTGTGTAGAACTGCACGTTAAAATGAACCCTGTAATGTGTGATTTATGCACTCCTTCGACGCATTAATATCACATATAGTTAAATATTAAAGAAAATGAGTACTGCATAAAATCTCATTTATCACTGCACAAATCCCATTTATCGCTGCACAAATTGGTGTTGCATCATTAAAATAATCCAGCGGCGTAGGAAGCTTGTGAAAGTCAGGGGGCGGGAGTCTCCAGATCGTCGGAAGGGTCTTCTCTACCACTTTCGTTAAGCCCTTTCAAAATCTGTAAGACCATGTAAGGTACCATGCAGTAACTTGCCGATAATAAATGCATACACTCGCAAAAAATTACAGATACATTATTAATATGATATATAGTATATACGGTAATTTGAAATACTTTCAGTTTCGAGAATATCGCGGTAATTTTTATTATTTTTTTAAATCCAATATATCTTTTTTGTGGGGGGGGGGATGCAAACGCTATCCCGGCCACCCCTCAGGGACCGGTGATTATTTATGGAAGGGGGGGGGAATTTTTCTCTTTCCTAAATTTTTAATATTGAAAGCCCCCCCCCCCCCCCCC